AAGTATTACAGAAGCACAGAGCAGTCACTGCATTTCACATCAGGCTGTACTGCAGAAATCCGAAATGCACAAAGGCACACCAATTTGTAGGGAATACTTCAGAAGGGCTCAAGGGGACTTCTGTATGTCATAAAGCAAGTTCTGGACAGCCACTGTGTGTGATTTGTCAAGATTTTGTTGTTATCAGTGATAGAGCAGTTGCATTAAAAACTTACATTAAACAAGCTTCTTTCACTTGGAATCTCAAAGAATATTTTTAGTATTTATCATCACTGGTGACTCATCCTTGTGCTACCAAAAACTGTTTTGAAGCAAGACACTGAATAAATATTTGTCAAAATAGCATTTAAAGATGGAAAGTAGCAATAAAGTGTGTCAGAATAGACAGGGCTGTAATGGAAGGCAATTAAGGTACCAGGAATGCCACAAAGACTTTTTAAATCCTGGAATTTTTTTCATCTCTGTTGCAGAATAAGTCATTCATTTATCATTTCTCTCTTAATGGCTCTGTAGACAAACACCTCACTTACTTGTTTCTGCAGTTTTATTAAAGCTGTATGCATAAAGCAATGCAGGCCTATGTACCAATTTCTAAAGTAAGTGTTTAAGAGCATAAAGAACTCTTCTAAGCTTCAAGTAATAAACAACTAAACTCCATCATAAAAAAAAAAGGTGACTTCAAATAGAGCATCATGTTGGAAAGGATGGGACTGACAAGCCTGATGGATTTTACCTAGAGAACAAATTTCATGCACAGAGAAATGTGATGGAAATTCACAGCATCCTGTCTCTCTGTGTACCCTTACCCCTCCTGGACTGAGATTATTGTGCACTTTCCATAAGTATTCACTCCTTTTCTCTCTCTCTGGATCTTTCAAGAGGGAGGCTATGCACAGTTGTTATTATATGAAGGGTGCTCTTAAAACTGAATGCACACAAATAACAATTCTAAAAACAATGTTTAACAAACCAGCATAAAAGAACCACTTCCAGGCATAAATCCTGTTATTTGATGAAAATATCCAATTTAACTATATTTAAAAAAAGAGTCCAAATACCAAATCAATTTCACTTTACTCTCTTATCAGGTAACATAAACTCCTTTGAAAGGCAGTTCCTGCTCTACCATGTCCTTGAGCAGGTGCTGATTTTAAAAAAGGAGCTGGGAGTGAAGTGCTTGACTGCCATGGCTGTTTCCTCCAGGGGAAACCCCTGGTGTGTGTGTGGCCACTGAAGTGGTGAAGTGCAAACCAAGGCCTTGTCTTAAGCCTTCAGCAGCTCTGTGCCCACACAGACAAAATGCACCACATTTAGACTTAATCTAAACTGTCTCTTGTAGTTCCTGTTAGAAAAGGAATTGTTTTGGGGCTTTTTCACAATGAAAAGCACTGCAGGTTAATTCTGGATTATTCAAATAATTTATCTCATCTTAGTAAAGAAACAATAACTTTCTGCATGTTTATCTGGTTTTTGCTGACTTAGAATGACTCCAGATCATGCACTAGATTCCCTGTTTTTAATGGGATCAACATAAATTTTGCCCATGGGGTGAAGACTGTTTGCAGAATGATAACATCCTGAAAATAATGTTGCACTATGAATAAAGTACATGAAAAAATTGTTCATCTCTGGCTCAGATACCTTCTTCCTATAAAAAAAAAAGTGTTGTTATCCTATTGATTTAGGAGAAGAAAAAATACCTTTCGGCTGTCCTCATATTTGTATGAAAAGTGTAATACCTGTTCTGAACAGTGTGAAATACATCATCCTGTTCAGTGTTATGTATTCCACTGTCACAAAAGGCTTGAATGACTGGGTTACTCATTCAAACTACAATTCTGGTTTGGTTCACAGCTTTCTAAGAAAGTCAAAGAAACAGTTTTAATATTTTATATGCTATTCTTAGATGGTCCAAATGCATATTTGGCTGCCTAAATAATTCACTTAAAATAAAACCTATGTTCTTATCCATTTGAGATAATTAGGTGATACTTTAGATGCCTTTTACTGACTTTGGTAACAAATTTTTTGTTTTGTCAAAAGTAATTTCTGCCCTTTTTGTAATAAGTTTTTGGTTTAAAAAGTGTCCAATGCTTAAAGTACAAGAAAAGAAATTACATAAATGTTGACAAACACATATTGATATTAAATTTAAACTTTTGAATGGGAAACTCAGAAAAAAGTTCATGATCCTGAAACAAAGGAAACACCTGGGCTTACAAGGAAATGGAAATAAAATGAAGGAAGCTCCACTACCTAGGCATCTATTGCAGTTTTTATTACCAGTTACAGACCTGACACTGATTTTCTTTAACATTGCTCTTTCCATACCTTTTTTTTTCCAGATTACTGCTAATGGGTTCTCTCACAACTAAGACACTTAATTTGTAAAAGGAAGAAAGTGTGGAAAATCCCAAACTATCCACAATTCTTTTTCCCCATGTTTCTTATAAATAACAAGGACACCCTCAGTGAAAAGTCTAATACCTCTGGTTATCAGCACCTTTTGTGGAGGTCCTGTGTCAGTAGGTCACTGGTAAAGGCACGTCTGCCCATGGCTGTGGCACTCTCAGGTCATGGATCAGTGCAGTAAGTAAAAGATTCACCCAGCAAAGGCCATCAATTGAACAAATAGGGCCAAATAAAGTGAAAGCCATATAGTAAATAAATCCTTAGGTTATGAACTGACTTAAAGACAATCTTCCCAGAGCTAACCTGGCAGGCACTGTCATGTGGTGCTTTCAGACACTTCTTGTGCAAGGCTTGTGGTGTCAAGAGGCTCCAGATGCACTGCTCAGCTGCAACTGTGTAAAATGTTCTGTGGATCCCTGTATCCAGACAAGGACAGAGCCTGCAGCTAAGGTGTGTGCCCAACTCCCCCACCACAGAAATGAGATCTAGACAATTAAATTAAACTTAGTCAGTGCCCTGAAAGAATGAAGAGTCTTATGGAGCAGACAGAGCCCAGAGCAGCTGGTATCATAAATTTTACTGTTCTGCAGTGAGAGTGATAAATGATTTCACCAGTTCAAACTTCACCCTCTTCCAAGGTCACTGGATAACAGCAAAAGCAATCTCTAGATTGTTGCACTCATAAAGTGAGCTCAGCAATAAAGTTCTCTGCCACATTTTCCTCTGCTCTGGCTGTGGTTGGGACCAAGCCCTGGAGGGTCTTGCAGAGTAATTTCTGTCCTGTCCTGTCTGCAGAGCCCTGTCCCACAGGACAGGTGGGGTAACAGAGAGAGCAGCTGGGCACTGCTCCATTTCCAGGCTTTTCTTAACAAAACAACAACAGCAGGGAATCGGAGGGTTTGCCACTACAGAATAAACTGTTCTGAAGGTGAGATTTCCAGTGGTATGTCAGTTTCTAAATATGCAAATAATCAAATTAATCTACTCCTGAAAGTCTAGCCCGGCTTATTTTCATATTGAGTAGGACCCTAACTTGTTTTATGATGTGGTTTTAAAATATCCTGTGCTTTCTAAGATAGACCACTCTGCGTATATAGTTAGAAGAAGGCATCATTTTACTACATTTTAGTGACAATTTCTCACTGCCTTGTCTTCAAAACCATGCAAGTTCTCTCCTGGCCCATTATTCCCACATGTTTTATTTTCAGTTTCTTTTAGTTTACTCTACCATATAGGCCAGATGGAGTATGAAGAAGAGATAAAGTTGCAATTTTTATGAGGTCCCTTCATGACAAAACTTACAACAGTATCACCTTGACAATATAAATCTATCTTCATGGAATTCTGGGCACATAACAAACTTTATTTTAATCTTACTTTCTTTTTCATCTATAAACAACAGCTGAAAATATACAGTGGAAATCAATTGACAGCAGCCAAATGAAAGGAAATTAATCAAGTGATCTAAAAATATTTTCTGTCTCTAGTTTACATCATGTATGAGTTTTCAGTAGTAGTTAGGAAAGTCCATGGGTAAGTCACAAGAGTCACACAGAAATTTCATTTATTGAGAGGACATTGGTTCTCTCTCATTTTAAGGATATAGAAGTGGACTGCACCCAATTTTCAAAATCGCAATACTTCCCAAACACTTTGCATTATCATTAATTAGATGCTTAGTACTGAGTTTAGAAATACAAGTCCATCTTTAGCATTCACAACAGCCTTATCTGAGATTATATCAGTTACTTCTAATTTGCAATCTTCAATATGATTTGATTTCAATTCATTTTGAGACACTAAGATTTCATATCAAGTACAGCACAAACTGATTACAGACTGGTTAGCGTAAATGCAAAGCGAGTGCTATGACCACCACAGACTTTCTTACCACACTCATTTCATAAACATGATGGAGATATCATTTTTATATAAATTTAGAAGGTGAATTAGAAAAGTAAACATTCCTATAGCTACATTTTCCATAGCATATTTTGGACCCAAAGATAAGAAGGAACTTCCTTTGAAAAAAATAGTACTTTGCCGAAGTCTGTCTTCTTTCATCCAAATGATGCTTATCCTGCCTAGAATGAATAAGTCTATGAAAGGCAACTCTTATGTCTTTAATAATAATTTTCTTGCAATATATGCTTAATAATAAGGCAAAATTACATACAGCACAGCAGATAAAAGATCTGCAGATAGGATTTACAATACAATAGAAGTGCCTTTCTGTGTATCAGCATGATCTTAACCAAAAAGGTTTCCATCACTCCCATTGTGCTGATAAAGCAGATTTTTAAAAAATGATAAATGGAAAACATTTAAGGAACTATATGCAATATCATGTCTCTCTCCACTGCCAAAGGATATAAACCTCTACTTACGAAGTTAACTTATTTGTCTCTTTTTATGTGAATCCTAATTAGAGTTGCAACAGCTGCAAGTTGCAGTGTAATTGCAAGAGATTTTGGAAGACTATGGACAGACTCTGGACAGCTGCTGTGGGATCTGGGTGGTTCCCGGTGCAGCCTAAAGGCCTGAGGAGGAAGGGTCCTGGATGACCTTGGGAAACATGAGGGAGGTACCTGGTCGAGCTTCCAGTGGAACTCGGCGGGGCGGAAGGTGTCAGCCTGGTCGAAGTCCTTGCGCAGCAGGAACACAAGGCGGCAGTTGTGCACGTAGAGAGCGTAGTGGTGCCGGTTCATCTCTGCATGGGGACACACCTGGCTCAGCCACACACAGCCCTTGGTGTCTGGGAGCCTCACACACTGACAGCACCCAGTCACATCAGAGAAACCCCAAAGAACTGAGTTTTCTCATGGATTGGTATGACTCTTCTTGAATTATGCTATATCAGCTTTGTTCATGGAATCATCCTGTCCCAGCTAATAAATGAAAATCAAATGCATATTTTATCTAACTTGTTTCAGTGGAGGATTACAACTGTTTCAGTCTAAATAATGAAAAAAATATTAAACATAATTTAGTTATGTTATCAGTAAATTCCTGGGAAATCTCTAGCTGTGTTATCCCAGCTGTGTTTGAAATTTAGGTAGTCATCAGGCCTCTCAATAAGCTCTCAAGTCAGCAATGCTTGGAGTGGCACCATCTGAGATTATTTTTTTCTCAGACCAAATTAAATCAGGAGTCATGGCAACACTTTACTGCTGTTGATATTCCCTTTGCATAACATTTTTTTCCATACACAGACTCACCTGTCTTGTCAGAGTTGCAGAGAATAGTCTCCTTCTCAGCTCTTAATCCAGGACTAGGTCCATGTTTCATCCACAGAGTGATGGTGAATTGATCAGTTAAATTTTTCGGGACTATTCCATCTGGGATTTTGGCTCCTTGCTTTCCATCAAATTTAAAAATCATGTCATTGCTATCTATGAGGAGCCCAACTGTCCAGTTGGTTGTTGTACTGGGAGATGGTAACAGGTCAATGGCACCTGAGGAAGCTCCTGCAAATCACATAATGAATAACACAATGAGGGACCAGTGAAAAAGCTGAGAAGATTAATATAGGCAAGGGTTCCGATTCACACTCTTTAGACTATTTTACTACTCAAATGCTCCTACCAGCCGCAATAGCAAATCACTGAAATGTTATAAAATGCCCACCATCATGAACCAGCAAGAGCTTTCTAGATTAAATGTACTTTACATAAAACAATAAAAAAATAATGTAAAGTTATCTTTCTCAGAAATGTTCATTATTTTCTGAAATTAATGACATTTCTTCAGCTATTTCAAGATCTGCTAAGAGTCAAAACAAATTTTCTGCATTTGTCTTCCCACCCTGACAGCATGAAGGTTTGTGGGGATGATGTGCTGTAAAATACAGCACAGTGGTGATGAATGCAGGACAGGCCCCACAGTGTCCAGCAGCCAGTCATCGATATCCCCAGTAATTCTGGGAGGAATGTCCATTCACAGGGGGAATTCACCCCTGTTACACTGTGCTCAGGCTATGCTCTTCCCCATTTCCAGGGACCCCTGTGACTCTGATCAGATAAGCCTGGTCCCCTCCTTCCTACTCTCACGGGGTTGGCAGAGAGCCAAGAAGCTGTCCCTGTCTAGAACCTAGATAAGGCCATAACCCTTCCTGTTTGCCCTCTTTCCCCCTCTCTTCCCCCCGGACCTCATGGAATAAAGAAGCAAGACAACCACATCAGGGTGAGAGCCTCTTTTGGAATCTTTGCACATCTCCTGATGTTCCTCCCCTCAAAGCCTTGTATCTCTGGGTTAGCCTGAAAATTTAGGGGCTGAGAGGAAAGAAGCATCACACCCCAACCAGATAATATCACTCCAGTGCTGCTTTCTGGTACATATTTGATGGTTGGAGCTCTGTGTGTTCTTTAATGATAGACTGAGATAGAAAACACTGTGGTACCAAGATCTGATAAAATGGCACAGTTCTTCACAGCTCTGTGTTTGCTTACAGCTTATCAACTGCCAGGCACTAAGAAAACCATGCAATGAGCTACCCAGAGCATTTACCCACTGGTGAAAGACAGCTGTAGCAGGAAATATGATTCCAAGGGTAAAAAGCACAATCTTTGTATTCCTTTTGCTGCTTTGTCAAGTAACAATATGGCGAGCAAACTGTGATGGCATAAAAAATCCCTTGCTAAGGTGTTCTGCCCTCCTTCACCATCCAAAAAGAGATAAAAAATCCCAATGCTCTGCCGGAGTGCAAAAAATTTTAAGCCAAAAGTGCGTAGAATTGTTTCATACGGGCTTTAAAAAAATGTATTACAGTAATGATTTGGAAATATTTACCTTATGCTGTAACTGAATGTCTTGGATTCTTCTCCAAAAGTTATTATTGTAAAATGAGGCTATTTTGAAGTGATAATTTGAATACCAAACCTAACACCTATATGTTCACAGTTTGAGCATGTAGACAACATGTATTTATTTTACAAACTGTAATTCTGGATAATACAGGACAGTGCATTTGTGTAACCAGCACCAAGCTCAACAGGTTCTACTTTATCTACCCATATTTGTATGGACATTTATGGCTAAGTTTGGAATCTCATCCTGTTATGTGTTTTAATCCTGCCCTGAGAAAAATCATTGGATTATGTGCTTGGGAGATTTGGCTGGAATAAGTCATGCTTTTCCTATCCTAATAAATGCAGCCAGAGTCCCAGACTCCTCTCATGTACAGAGACAGACCTGGAGCAATGCAAACAGGGTCTCTCTGGAGGTGTTCCCAGAACAGCCTTATCATGTGGTCAGTGCTCTTCCAAAATGTAGTGCCTGATGCCCTTTTCTTCCAAAATGCTTCCAGAACAATGCAGGAACTGCTGCATGAAGTTAAGTTTTGGGGTGAGACCCCTGAGGCACCTCTTGCATATAAAAGTGCTTATTTTCACAAGTGATTTATGCAGTTGGCTCCACCTCCTCTCCCAATCCTGCAAATTTGGGCTCCAGACTTTGTGCCAGGAAAAGCACACAGTGATGCTGCTTCCTGAGCTGGACCAGACTGCTGGCTTAGCTGGAAACAAATAATCCAAGTAACATCCAGCCCAAACTGTCCTTCGTGATCAGATCAACAACTTTCTTTGGGCCTCTTGCAATGCTACACCACCCAGGTTAATGGAGAGAGAGCAGGATCATGGCTGGAGCAGGGCCTTGATGCTGATAGTGTTGCCCTGTCTCAGTTTCCCATCTGCCACATGTGAGAATTGGAAATCCCAAATATTTTCTATTTTATTTACATTTAGAGGGAAAGGAGACAGCACTAGAGCCATCTTTACACTTTATTTTAGACTCCTTAACCTATGTTTATTTTAGTGTGATTTTTTTCTGATGTGTTTTTGCAGTTCAAATTGTGTCTTTCAGTCAGTCTGTACTTTTTATTACTGTCAGGTAACAAGGTAAAAAAATGCTTTCTAAAATGCTTTGAGGCACAACACTAATAATTCCTTGACTTTAAAATGACTCAAGTGTAATTTATTCATTTTAGCTGCCCACCTTGACTGTATAAAGGAGTGCAAATCTCTAGGTTATTGAAAAGCAGATTTAAACCTTCCATCATATAAATAATGAATTTTAATTGACCCTCCTTAACATCTGCTTTCTCCAGATTTCCAACATATAAATGAAGAAATGAGCACAGGATTTATTTTGCAAACCGGATCTTTACTTATACAGAAAGGCCTTGTGTTTTACATGCTGAAGAGCTGAGTGCTCAGTTCTGCAGCCTCTGCAATCACATCATGCTTCAATGTACAAAATAATTCAGGGTTTTCATCCTTTTCAAAGGATTTTATCATCCAACCATTAGTTACAATAAGGTAACGTCTGGGAGAAAAACTGATTTCCAGAAATAATTTAAGCTGCTTTCATAAGATTTCTCTCTGCATCAAGGATGGTAATAAATACTAAATAGCAAAGTGCAGTCCAGGCTAAATGCAATTCTCATGTAAAGCACATTGTCACTTACAGCCTTTTCATCAAAGTCCTGTTACAAGTTTCTACCATGTCTGCTCTCTATGAAGATATGGCAAACCTGGACCAAAAGAAAAATTCTTTCAGCAGTGAGAAGTTTCCCCCTATTTACATACACTCTTACACTCTTACTTGTTTTCTCAAGTGTTTTTCCATTTTCTTCCTTCACAGATGTGCTGAGCCAGAGATGAAGTTCAGCAGGGATGTCTGTCCACTGCTCAGACCTGCCTGCAGCCACCACAATGGCCCTGGCAGACCTGAGAGATGCCTGTAATTCTCTTTTCTACTCCAGTGTCACCAGGTGAGGCAATCAAGCCACACTCTGCAAACAGAGCCCCTTAGAGTTTGTACAACCTTCCTCAACTAAGGACTTTTACACCAGCTGAAGGTACCTCCTTTCAGCCCTATACTTGAAATGATAATATTGTTGGATATAGCTGCTGTCATTGTTTGATTTCAAGGAAATAATTTCATGGTTTAGGTCTTGTTTGTAGTGATCTGGGCTGAGTGACTGTGCCATTTGAAGTTCAGGTCTGTAACAGCACAAAGCAAAGTTATTTTGGCTGCTTCTTAGAGGAGGCAAAAGTATTTGACTTTAGCTATAACATATTTATTTTTATTAAAATTTTAGTATTTTATGAAATTAAGCCATGCTCTGCCTCTCAGATTTAATATCATTACCATGATTAAGATGCATATTGGGGCAGATGGATTTTCATCTGCTCTTCTAGAGCAAAACCAGTTGGATAAAGACATAGAAGCAAAGTCATGATTGTTTCTGTGATCTTAACTAAGCAATTTTGAAGTTGAAAACATTCAGATTTTATGACAATGCTACTATTCCCACTCACTTTTACCTCCCTTTCTTCATCTCCACTGATACCTGATAATTGCAACTGCCAACCATTTTCCCCTGGAAATTTCTTCTCCATTTTTAATAATTTATTACATTGGCTGAAAATTTTCATTTACAAAAATTATTTCATAAAGGTTAGTGTATTAACCTTAACAATCTGCAGCACTTCTGGATGGTTATCAGAGCAAAGGCAAGCTCTACACCAGAGGACCCCAAACCAAAATCCACACATTTAAATGGAAAAAATTGTACAATTGCTACTGTAGCTCAGACAGAAACCAGGCAAAGAGACAGAGAAGATGGGAATTAATGTCTACACCATCAGGGCTTCAGAGGACAACTCTAAAGATAGGATATTTGAGCAGGACAGACATCTGATATCAAAAGATGAAGGGATTACTGCATGGCCATTGGTTTGCCAGATATAGAATCTTAAATTCTGAAAAAAATACAGCAGTACCTTAAAGTATTTAACCTGCCTTTCAAAACTGATTTCTGCATTTTACATGAAGTTATCAAAAAGCACAAAAAGGGAAGAAAAAATTAGGAAATATTTTTCCACCAGGTCAGCTCTTATCTGAAGTTCATGTTTCTTAAATCTTTTTGCTCAAATGATTGCCCAGAATTTAATTTTACTTTTTGTCCTCTGGCACAGCACTGAGCAGCAGAACAGAAAGCTGTGTCAGGAGGACTAAAACACAACAGGGAGATTCAATTCCCTTCTAATCCTAAGGTCTTCCTGTGATGGTAAATCTACACTGGAAATCTCACTACACTGTCACACCACTATTTGTAGCAGAGGGAACAAAGAAGGAGAAAGAGATGGAATGAGGAACAAGAAAATATCGAGAGGGGAATTGGAACAGGAGAGAAAAAAAATTAAAATAAGGCAGGGAGAAAGTATGAAGTAGAGTGAAAACAAATGGAAAAGAAGGATGGAGCAGCTGTCAAATATCATCACCCTCTCAGTTTTCATTGCTACAATCCAAAGTAACCCAGCTGAGCTAAATACAAGTGCTGCATCCTTACAGGTCACAAGAAGCTGGTGCCTTGTTTGCAAAAACATTGTTATGTCAACTGAAATCCATATTCATACCACATAATTTCTGCAGATATTTTTCAGAGTAGGTTTCACGATCACAGCCCTTTCCAATGTAATTGGTCTGCAGTTCAATGGTGGTGTGGATTGAGGACACTGGTCCATCACACATTTCTAGCTGGATGCTGGGAAACAAGGGTATGCTGCCAGATCCAGGCCTATATTCAATCCGTTTGTTCCAGTCTGGAAAAACAATCAGAAACAAGATCCAATGGTGAGTAAAAAAAGTGAAGTGGGTTATGTAATTTCAAATTACATATTGTTCTCAAAGGACACTGTCTAAGGCAAAAGTAAGAGTTTCTGAAGTAGGCATCAATAAGCTACTGTCCTAAAAAAATTGGATTTAGGCCCTGTTTTTCTAAGACTTTCAGGCTCACTTAAGTAACACTACTGCTAGTTGAGTCACACAAGCAGGGGCTACACACATCTCCTGATAAGAAGTGCTAATTGGTGTCAGTCTGGAGCTGCAGTGCCCATGTTCTGTGACAGACTACAAGCTGACTCTGCAGGGAGGAGGTGTCTGCTGCACCCAATTTGGTCAGATTTCACAGCGTTGTGATAAGAACAAATACCTCCAAAGACCAGGCTACACATGTCAGTCTAATATAATACCTCTGTACCGCCACTTCTTGTCTTTGAACATCTTCCTAATTTTGTGAAGCACTGATGACAGGAAGTTCCAGTGAAAGGATGACTCCTGCTTCCAGCCAAATCTAACTTATCCGTGTTTATGCAGATGCCTCACAGCCCACAACATTTAAACAATACCCTGACTCAGGCACCCACCTGTTTGTGCCACACATAACCCCTGTGCTGCTCAACTGAAGCATTTTAATAATTATGGTGTTTGCAACATGCTTCAGAGAAAACCCAAAAAAGCAACAGTAATTACAAACATGTATTTTAGCTGTCTTTACAGCTCATATTTTAATCAAGTCACAGAATGGCTGGAGTTGGAAGGAATCCTCAAAGCTCACTTACTCCAACCCCCTGCCATGGGCAGGGACACCTGCCATTAAACCAGGCTCCTCAAAGTCCCATCCAGCCTGATCTCAGCTTGAGGGATAGGGCATCCCCAGCTTCTCTGGCAACCTGTGCCATGCCTCAGCATCCTTATAGGGGGAAAAAAATCATATATCCAATCTAAATCCAACTTAAAGCTGTTGCCTCTTGTCCTGTCACTACAGGCCTCAGTAAAATCTTTCTATCCATCTTTCTGCTAAGTCTCCTTCAAGCACTGAAAGGCCTCAGCAAGATCTCCGTGGAGCCTTCTCCACACTGAACAACCCCAACTCTCAGTATGTTCATAAATAAGAGATGCTGCATCCTTCTCGCAATGTTCATGTCCCTTCCCCTCATTGCTTTAGTAAGTTCAGATCTTTCTAGGTAAAAGATTTCATAAATGGAAGAGTTCTAGGTCTCGGCAGTCAACAAAATCCCTGAAAGCAAATGGACAGAGATTCGTTCTAAATATCAGTGGAAGGGAAAACTAATAGTGGATACAAATATGTATCTATGCATTTAGTAGGTGAAGGAGTTTGTGTTTTCCAACAGATCTCCTTTCAGAAAGCTTGAAAAATGGTGCTCTTTCTCAGGTCTTAAACTGCATTAAATTAAACATTTAGAAGAAGTCCTGAACATCCATGCAAACACTTCAAACTGTGAGGAAGTCATTAGTCCAGAGTCCAGGCAATGATGCTACAACCACTGGTCTGCATTTCAGAATTCTCAGATCTTCTTTTTGACATAACCCAATTGGCTTTTACTAAAAGTTTTAGGACTAGTATATCATGACTAAAACAACCATGACTGCCTGTGCACACATAACTGAGTTACTATTTCAGTTGTAATTTTCATGTAATTCACTCCATTTGTTCCACATTAAGTTAGACTTGATCTACAGTATTGCATAGTTTCTCTTCAATTGTCAGTTTAAACTGTTCCATTAGAATTTCAAATACCATATACAGGACATGATTACAGTAATAGGTTTTTTTTCCCCTCTCCATTGCAGAAATTTGAGGTTAACGCTTTTCCAATAGAACATGAGCAACAAATTCTTCGAGGTACTTCAGTAAAAATAAAGTAATTTGCTGGTTTTATGCAAACTAATAATATATTAGTTACTGATCTTTATAATCTCTTATTCACCAGTTCAGGCATTGTATTCGTCTGCCCCAAAAGGAAAATAAAGCCTTATATATATCTGGAACCTTTCTGACTATTTTAGCAGCTTTCAGCCATTTCTCAGGTATACCAAATAGACCAGTAGTCATGCAAAATATTCAGTAGTGGATGTGAGATGCAACTGAATTATAAATTGCAAGGTGCCTGAAGCTGCACATTCACCACAGCTATACAAGGAATGTCCTATAAAATTCACATAATATAAAATACCATTGTTTACAAGGAAGAATGATGGGAGGCCTCTGTTTCTGCCAAAAGAACTGGAGGAGGTATTCTGTTTCATGCTTGTTTTCAGCTTGGCAGAAGTGGGAATTTGTACCCAGAGATCATAAACCCCGCACCTCTCTAAATCACTTACATTTATCTTAGTTCTAAATTGTAAAACATCAACTAGACTTGAACTCATGTTTTTGTACCTTGGTCTACTGCATCACCACAGACAAATCCTCATTCTCAACTGCACCAGCACTGACTTCACTGACTTAGTGCTGATTTAGGAATTCCACCAAGAAGTCTCTCCCCATGCCAGAGGCGTTACCAGTTAGGCGTGAGGCAATACTGGAGCAGGTTACAGTCCTGTGATGGCAGAACTGTTTCTAAAGGAAGCAACAGCTCTGATAAAAAACAACTGGCTTGTTTCCATAGAACCTGCCCCCAAGCACTTAGCTCCCAGAGCTGTGAAGCTGAAGCCAGCTCCCTCTGCATCTCACTACCAGTGCAAGCAGCAATGCTGGGAAGTGCACAGAGCTGGAACAAGCAACAATAAGTGGTAGTAACAGTGCGAAGAAATTATTGTGACAGTAACCCAAGTCCTTAATTTCATTTTGAATGGGTGAATATCATTATTTTGCTCTCTCCCAGAATAACATACCACACTGGACTAAGTCAAAAGATCATCACCTTCCCTTCAGGAATGTGGTGGCACTTTTTTATTTACTCTGGAGTGACTCAGAGGAAAAGTCTTATGTAACCTGAATCTGCAAAAGCCTCTGAATTTAGGTATTTTCTAGATATGGTCAGATACATAACCCCATCTGAACTGGCAGGCTCCACTTAGATTAACTAAACCAAACTAACACAGTTCCTGCTTTGACACAAACCTGACCCAAGTCCTGCTACAACACAATGTTACACAGCAAAATTAGGAAATTAAATGCTATCAGGGTAGAAGACTAATCCCAGGGGGAAAGTCTGAATAAAATTAGCACTGTTTAGTTTTGCAGCCACTGTTTTAATTTTATAATTCAGCAGGCTTTTGCTTGCTTGCCACTTCTAGCATAAAGCAGCTCCAGACAATGCAAGACAGCCCCAGCTGGATTATGCCTACAATTCAAGTGTAAATATTACCATGTCAAGCTTGTGGTTTAGATTTCATCAATTATAAAGCAGCTATGTAAACATGGATCTTGATTGCTGAGATGGTCAAATGATGGCAAGATCAAAATGGATCAAACTTCAGTGACAGTGTGAGCCTTTAAAAGTAAATCCCAATGCACTAAACACATCTTCCTTTTAAAAACAGATGGATGATGTCAAGACATTCTTGATTTCTAAACTTAAGGTTTTCTGTACTGTCTTTGTGATCCATGTTTTATATTTTAATTAATTTCTAATGCTAGATGACACTGAGGGATTTAATCTGATTTTTTTTTCCTTGAAGGAGATCATGCAGAGGAGGTATGACATGGTTCATGTCTCCTACATGTGTGTGGCCATAAATTTTGATTCTATTTCACGGTGTTAAAAATGATGGTAATATAATTAAAGATAATTGCAACACAATGAAATACAAAACTTCTCTCCTGTTGCACTGAAGATATGCATCTTGGCAGCTAAATGTAAAATAAAATTTATGTGGTGCCGTTAGTGAGTCTCTGCAGCGTCCCTATATAATTGCTGGAACAGAAGGCTCCCAGAGCAGTGTAATTGGTATCTCTTCTGTTTCCTCTGCAGTATCCTCACATCTGTGCTGTTTATGTAGGCTAGAGACTTGGCTAAAGGTTACTCTGGTGCCTTTTTTATGTGAAATAAGATGAGTGACTTGTTAAGGAAATGATTATCAGGTTATAGTTAAAGGGTTTCCACAGTAAAGAGAAAACTCAAACTAATGTCCAAAGCTCTGCTTTGCTAAGAGATATAAGTGCAGATCTCAAAGTATAAACAAACATTCATTTACACCTTTTCTTTGTGCAGCATGCTGATAGTTTTAAAAAGAGAAACAAAAAAGAAACAGTGCTTAGTACAGGACAGTGAAAAGGCTGCTGCTGCAGGAGCTGGTGAACCTAATGGAGTAACTGTTGTGCTTGACCTACTGACACTGAATATTCCATCAAGTGATAAAGTTCCCAGATCTAATGGTGCTTAATTATGTGACATAAACATATAAGAATCTAAAAACCATGAAACAGCATAGGTTAAGCTATTATTTGATGTGAAATTGCATTTGAACAATGAATTTCCTAAAGTGTCAGAGCCCCAAGGGCACTAATAAGCCCTAATGAACCTCTACAGGCTTCACCTCCGGCCTCCATTTGCCCTGCATGGGCCTGGAGCTCCATTTAAGATCAGCCCCATCAGAATGGGCTGCAGGTGCTGGTCTGTCTCAGCCACAGCATCTCTGGATCCAGGAGCCAATCCAGGGCTTGCTGCTCTGGCTTGACAGAGCCTCAGCACTGTGGACATGCTCAGATCCCAACCCTCATCCATGGATCCCTCATCCATGGATCCCAGCCCTCATCCATGGATCCCTGCTTGCAGAGATCCACAGTTTGCAGTTAGCTTGTAGCTGCCAACTAAATTTGGTCATATCAGACCTTCAACCTCGGCCAGCCTAGAGATAAAACAGGTCCTCAGATGAGGCAGGGATAGGTTGGATTCAAATCTGCACTGGGACTTCACCTAACACATTCCAGCCTAACTGCAGACATCTCACTGGTCAGGAAGCTGGGCTGTGTAGGGATCAGACCAATCAGCAGCTGAGATTGGGGTGTTTCAAA